TTCTGCTATTGAAACATAAATCACAAATCTAACTGTAATTGCAATGCTTCTCAGAAAAATCGCTAATAGATACTAATGTAGATCATTTTCAAAATGCCAAAATATCAATAAAGAAGGATAATCCCGGTAAAGTAAACTATGTCAACTAAACAGAATAAAACAATAGTTAGCTACAGAAATTATATTGGGCTCAAATTTCATTGTATTCAAAAAAGTAAAAAAAAATCTCACAGCAGACATGATACATTTTGATCATTTATTGAACAATATGTCAAAATGGTAATTATTGTGAGAGTCCTATGTCTATGGCTAACTTTAAGTTTAGCTTTCATTTGTCTTGCAAAGAGAGACAATAAGTTGAAAGAACTTGCCCCATGATGTTGCATAATTTACACTGCTTTGTGGCTTAAATCGGGATCTTCCACTTCTACATTTCTCTGTCTGGCAAGTCATAAAAACCTCGAGTTTCTCAACTGCTTGACTGGGTTCACAGACCTTTTGATGTGCTTAGTTCCTCACATGCCAGCCATATTAAAATCAGTTATTGTTTGTATACTTTGCAAACAGACAGAAAAATCAAGTGTAAGCATAACTAAGTGTTTTGACTGCAGTAAGAGAAACCAAGGTACACATTGTTCTTAAAGCATATTTTATTTTTGTTGCTGAGAGTTCACTAATATAAAAGTGCATGCATAAGAAACAAGCATAAACAGAAACAAATTAGTCACAAGAGGAGGTGAGAGCCGCCTTTAAAACATCTTGTCCCCAAAGCACACTGCAATAAAGCTCCTAGAAGGAACATTAATGTATTCACTTGTGCTTTTCTTTATGAGAAATTCAGCCATATAAATCCCATCTGCTTTATGTTTAATGGTCACTTTATTCATTTATGACTAAAATAAAGAATCTTAATGATTTGTGCTCTTGCTGTTTAAAGATGCTGGAGCTATACGTTACTTCTGATGACCTGACTTTGACTCCTTTATAGGGTTTTCAAGTATTGAAAATCAGATCAATATTAAAACTAGAATCAAAACTAGGTATTCATTTGAACAAGTATCGATACTAAAAAAGTCACATTCATAGAACAGATTATCCTTTCCTGAAAAGCTTTAGAATATGGGTCTCCAGTCTTTTTCTTCTGGTGATTTACCTTTACAAAAAGAAAATGCCAAAGAGCTACTAAGTTTAGCGGTCACACGAAATTGAGCATATGAAGCCATAGATGGGTAACAGTTAGATACCTATAAAACATAAACCTGTATCCATTTATTAGTTCACAAATTTAGGCATCAAAATGATACATTTACAATGGTAGTTCATCAAATTTGAGTTATTCAGCACAATATGTATAATTCAGAAATCCTTTGGCAAGCTACTGGGAAGGGGGTGGAGAGCTACTTTTAGCTCCCAAGTTGCAGATTGGAGACCCCTGCTTTAGAATGATCTTAAGATGTATCAGAATAAGTAAGTAAGGCCGCATAGACCAGCATGGACCACCATGGAACCTACCTGGACAACGGAGGGATTACACACATATAAGGCCGCATGGTATATAAAAGAAAATACTATGATTTAATGCTCAAAACCACAGTGTGTTGTCTAAGGAAAGAGTGTTTGTAATTATTACTGTAGTATTGTATTCTGTGTCAAGTATCAAGTTTACCTTAGTATCGAATTTTGAGTTTGAAATTTTAGTATCTTGACAACAGTGCATTACACTGTGGGAACGCTCGCATTAAAGAGGAATATTGTACAAAAGTGGCCACAGACCAAAGTCAATGCAGTCATTCAGTCCAATCCACTTCAAACCAGACCATACTGTCCCCCTGGAGCCACTACAACAGAGCAGGACCAGCTCTCACAAGGCTCACACACAGATGTACAGTAGCAGCCTTGTATCCAACACAATTAATGAGCCCATAATACACTATTTTAGTGTTGTGTCCTCATTAAAAACATATCTGGAGTTGTGTTTTGTTTCATTCACAGAAGCTTAGTACACAAATCCTGGATATTTAGACTGAATTCTCTCAAGCTGAAGTCATGTGGTAATACAGGAGGTTTTGTGGTAATACAGGAGGTGTTTTTAAACTCCATACACCTTCATTAGAATCATTTGGGTCATTTCATATGTGGAATTGCCATTCTCTTCTGAACAAATGGCAAAAGGTAAGTTTTAAATTAATCTACCACTTCATGACATGACAAGGTGGAACAGAGCATTTTGAGCTTTGGAAATATAACAAACTAATAAACCAGGATTACAGAACTATGTGTGAATGAAACAAAATGCAACTCCAGGCATGTTTTTGATGAAGTAACAACATTCTAACATGGCTAAAAGCTCACATCAGTCAATTTTGCATAATATAGGATCTTTAATCCACTTCACTGCTTATTTGTCATGTTTTTCACAAGCAGGCTGTCAACTGTATGCCAACTTTGTGATGATTTTAGTTCTGAAATTGGCATACAGTCTGATTTGAATACTTTCAACAGCCTGTCTCAGATATGTGTCAACCTTAAATCATTTTTATGCATAACATTGTCACCAAATTAGCTCCTGTTGCGTTGCGTCATTACAAGTCATCAGCTCGGGTTAACTATTGTGTAACCAACCACCTGTTTATTTAATGTTACCGTTTGCTTTTTAAGTTGTCAGTACCAGTAAATAAATATAGTGAACACAGTTTTGTATGATTCAATAAGGTGAAGGGTTTAACTTGTTTTTTCTTTTCAAAGTTTGGTCATAATGATTTTTGTAAGGTGCTAAAGTTAACCTCAAGTTCAGTCTCACAGATTTCCATTGAAAAGGTTGAGTTGATTACTTCAGTCTGTAATGGTTTAGATGTGCTGCCAAAAATCATTGTGTGACCTGGAGTTCCAAGTTTAACCACAGAGTCTGAAATTGTTAAATCCTAAATGGCAAATGGCTAGCGAAACATATTGAATAAAAAAAGTTGAATACGCAGTCTATTGCTCCTCCATGCAGTTTTTTGCCCACTCACCATTTTTACAAGTTGGATATTAAAGTTCATTTGTCAGTCCCACATGGAGCCTTTCTCGTCCTATACTTTACATTGTAGGCTTTAAGTTCAGAAATATATCTAATTAGCTGCCATAAATCCTGTTTCAAACCGTAATTATGTGTTGTGCGTGTATCTGAAATGCAGCTTGCTAATTACAGTGTGCAGTGTTTATTCTACCGTCGTACTTTCTCTCTAATCAGTGCGGATTATTCTGAGGCTAAACACTCCGGCTCCATCTAATCGCTGGTACCTGATCTCTCACTCCTCTGCCCGTCACTGTCTCCATTATACCCCCAGCGATTAGCCTGGTTACGTAACTTTGTGATCATCACCACAGTCTCTTGTAGCTGTTTGCTGTCGTCACGTTGTTCATTTTCAATCCCAGACATTAAAGGACCAGTATATAACTTTTCTTCTTAGGGGTCTGTCATCCTTCTGCCATGGAGGTATTAATGACTTACCTGGAATGTCCCACAGTTTGGCATTAAATGTATTCTGAAATTGTTCAATTACAGGTGTTATTACTTACAAACGCTTGCTAAACTTGCATTCTTACAGTGAGTCTCCACAGATCTGACCTGTAACCAAATGTTCAAGACACTGTGAAACATCGCAGGCATAGCAATAACATGCCCCTGAAAAGAAGGACCAGTCACCAGAAAAATGTACTTGTGTACCTTTAAACAGTTTCTATAAAGCTATTATATTTGGCTTAGAAAGTTTGGTGATGTCTGTCAAGTTTGATAACCAATCCATCTTTTTAGCAGCTACCTCACTACAAACAAGAGACAAACATAGTAACCCATCGAGTCAAAAGATAGACATTTAGTGCTATTTTGTATGTTTTCCATGGTGTTCCGGTAATGTTAGCTTTGCGAGCAGATAATGAAGGCTCTTCTAAGCCCTGCTCTACAGAGATGATGGGATTTTCCGTAACTAAGGATGTGTGCTTTTACTGAAATGCCTTTTACGAAAATCCATGCTTACCACAAGTTATTTTAAGTAGGCACTATTATTCAACCATTATGGAGGCTTGTCCCATCAACCGCTGTCCAACTATGTGAAAAATGTACAGTGTTTGTTATCAAGCAAAGTGTCTAAAAGTATGAAAGTGCCTGGTATTGACCACATAAATATGCTATTATTATAAGCTGTGCAAATCAAATATTAATTGTGGTAATTTTTCCACAGTTACAAAATCACTTACAAAATGGTGTAATGAAAATAAAAGATGAACATTGCTAAATAAAATAAATTATCACTACTGTTATTTCTAGCCTCAGTGTACAGTACACTTGCCGTTTAAAGGTGCATTCTTTTGGTACTACAGTATGGCATTAAACCTTTCTATCTTCATGGAGACCAAACCAGGCCAGGTTCGCCTCCCCGCTCACAGTCAGAATTCCTGTTTTCCTATGTATTTTTGAGCTATATAAAGCCACCTGTAATTGATTAAATGTAACATAGAGCTGTTTAATTTCATAGTATGGAACATTACAGGCAGAGCAATGGCATATCCATAGAAACAAGCAGGTGACAGACCACCAACCAATAAAATTACATATTCTGTCTTAACTGGGAGGTTCTTGGTTCAGATATCTTTACTCTTTTGAAATTGACCCACTAGTATCTATGTTGACCTTGGTCTGTCTAGTTGTTGCAGAATCATGAGATAATGACACAATGTTACCCAATAGGAAGTGACAGTAAGATCACAAGCGGCTGAATTCATCTTTGCGGTTGCCATAACGATAACACAGACACAGTGTGAACTGTGTAACATTAACCCCACCACACCCTTTAAAGCGATATGACCTCTTTCCTTGTTTCTCCTTAACCAATTTACTTTCATCTCCGCAGCCTTCTCTCTTGTACATGTGATATTGAAGCCAGATTTTGTGTTTAAACAGCCTGGAATCCATGAGTCATCTTCTAACACCCGTTGTATGTGTGTGCTTTGTTTTACAGTTACTAGGAGCAGCATTCTTGGCCATCGGCCTGTGGGCATGGGCGGAGAAGGTAAGGGTAAACACTTGTACACAGTTTTAGAGCGATTGCCCCAAATGCATAGCTCACATTCTTTGCCACTTCACTGGCCCCCGTATGCTGAAAAAGTCTGATTTGGAGTAGAACCCAGATTACTGAGATAACGCAAGCGATGTGGACAACCAGTTTCGACATTTCAGAAACACTGTAAATTGCTAAATCTATGCTTTAGGCCTCAGGATGCAGTCATAGTCTCATGTGGGAAGCCTCATTATATTTCTTGGTTATCACATCTATCCAGTGTGGGAATGACAATGCAGGTGGTTAGAAGTCCTATATTACACAGAACTGATTCTTGTGAAGAAAACATAACCCAGAGTTGTTTTGTTTCATTCACACGTTTGAGTAATCCTGTATTATTACTCATGACATCACAAAGTGGAGTGTTTTCTGCTTGAGAGAAGAACACAGGCTAAATATGCAGGACTTGTGTGTTCAACATGTGTGAAACAACATTATAACATATATCAGAAAATAGCTTAGTATGAGCCCTTTAATGAAACTTTGTGAACATGTCTTGAAGTATATATTTTTTTTGGACAAAACTGCTCTGTTAGTTGCCCAAAATATCACTATTAGAAGGTGCAAGTCTGATCTCTGGACAGCTACTCACATTTTCCCTGGCAACCATTTTGTAATCTTTTTGGTTGTGTAAGCAGGTGCGGTGCATAGCCAAGGTACAAGTATATTTGGACTTAACTGTATTTAGAGGAAAATCAGCTCCGCGCTAATTGCGGAGCTGCACTGGGTTGGAAACTAGAAATAAACAAGCTTTGTAAATTACAGCTCAGAAAAGACACACTTGTAAATCTGCATCCTACTCCAAAAATTACCAACTCATTTGGCGCACTCGCATCAGGAGTCCAATGCCTCGCGTGGAAGAACAAATTGAACTGGGCTCCCAATCCACACCACACATTGCACAACAAGTTCATTTCAGTCTTTGTGGAGGCTGCAAGGGTCAGATCAGTGTTCAGCGGATCATGGAAACATACAAGGCGGTGGGCAGCCAAGTTAACAGTCAATTTGTTCATTAATTAGCCTTGAATTGTTCCAGTTGCCTCCATTAATGCGGCACAAGCGTACAGAGGCATGTCGTGATTAGCTGCAAACAGGATTGTACAGAGAACCTTTGTGGAACGGTGTGAATAATTAAACAGGATTATAGTCTCAAGGGTGAACAGGGGCCGGACGGGTTTAGGTCTCTGTGGCTAAGTCGGTTAGTTTGAAAGTATTAAATTTAACACATTTTTGGTCCAAATTAAAGGTCCTCTATTGCACAAAGTGACTCCCATGACCTTTTAGTCATGTGGTTACCTCATCAAAAACATCCCTTGCGTTGGGCAATTATAAGTCTGCATTATAAGTCTGTCTACATCTCCATAGCTCAAAATAGTCTGTTCCTCCTTGTGATGTCATGAAATGGTAGTTTCAAGTTAACGGCTCCTTTTATCTTTCGTTTAGTAGAGACAGGCAATTCCAGGGCTGAAATTATCCAAATTATTCTAGTGAAGGTGTGTGGAGTTTAAAAACACAGTAGACCACTTCCTGTATTACTGCATGACATCACAAGGTGGAACAGAGTGTTTTCTGTTTGACCCTAAATATGCAGGATTTGTGTGTTAAACGTGTGAATAAAACAAAACACAACTCCGGGTATGGTTTAGATAAACATACTGCTCTAACATAGATCAGAAAATAATGTAATATGGACCCTTTAAAAAATAAAATAAAATTTACAGACAACTATCTAGAAGAGAACATTTCTGCACAATCTGGTGGTAAAATGTGAATCTGATCATGATCAGAATGAGCCACAGACAATATTTATTTAATGTCTACCCTGTTTATTGTGATAAACAGTACTATTTTTTATTGTCACATTTCTTGTCATATCAAGGGTTGTCAAGATTTGGTTAATTGATAATCATGATTATTCAGATCACAATATAATTGTTAGAACTAAAACATAATAATTGTGTTAATATTCAGTAATTACTATTCAGTAATAAAAAAAATCACCTAAATGGGAAATGCCTTTCATTTGGCTGTGTTTATGTCTCACTGACTTCAAGGTCATTAAGGAATGGTAACTTGTTGTTAATAACTGATAAACAACTTTTTTTTACAGACAATTGTCAATTTCAATACAAAATAAAAGTACTTTATTTTACCATGTGGTCATGCAGTTCTGAAGATCATTCTAAAACTGTTCATGAATTGTCCAGTTTTTAGTATTGATACTACTCAAATGAGTATGTAGTTTTGATACTAGTTTAATTATTGATTGATTACAGCATTACATTAGATAAGGAGGGGAATGAAAGAAAATGTCACTGCTGTTTGGGTACGCTATCAATATGTGTATCAAGTGTGAAATAGTGTTGTTTCTTGTAACACTACAATTGGTGGTCCCCATTGATTACATTGTATTTTGTCATGCAATATCCAAAGGTAAATTCGCAAACATAGAATCTGATTAAGAACTCACTATATTATAGCATAAATCACCATTTTAATGAAATTAAGTTTAGCTGCTCCCCATTTGTATTAAATATTATTGACCTATAGAATGCTGTGTTGTCATCTGAAACCTAGCCATACTGTCCATCCCTCGTGGTTTTGCCTCCTTGTTCTTAGCTGCAGTGAAAATAGAATTTATCCTGCCCAAAGTAGCGTGGGCAGTTCCTGTGTTCTCTGCTTGTCTCTGGCCCGTGCAGAGGGAGCTTAGCTTAAGCAGTGGGAGTCTTCAGCCTCTTACACTGAAGCTGCAAGTGTTTGACATGTGCTGGACCGCTCAACAAACAAACAACCCAACAACACAAAGGAAGAGCGTGCAGATGCATGGAGCCAGTGTCCTGTCAATAAGAGCCAGAAGAGAGGAAAAGTTTACAAGTCAGGCTCAGGGATGAGATTAGCTAAGATGGAACGGTATTGATCTCCATAGTAGTGAAATTCACTTCAGTGGGTCAAGGTAAAATCAATCTATCAAATGACTTTATTTCTCCCTGCACAGCAATTTAAAAGGAACAAGAAGTAGCTTTAATAACACACACACGCCAATTAAAGCACGCAATAGAGAATGAATATTAGGGAAATAATTAATAAAATGCTTAACTGATATCATTGCTTTAACTTAATACAAAATAGGGCTGTCAAAAACCGATACCCAAAAACTAAATGATACTAAAACTTGTATTGAAACACAATACTCATTTCAACAGGTCTCGATACTGAAATAAATCACAAATAGTATATTAGGTAATATTGGACCTCCTTTCTTTAGGTTTAGCTTGGTCTTTATTAGAACTGCAGAATAATGAGATCACATGGTATATGCATGAAACTAATATTAATGATTTTTGTGATTTGTGACTAATATAAATTGTGTTATAAAATTGCTATTTACCATTGTCCTTTTCCTGTATTTTGAAAACAGAAAACGTACATAAAATGAATTGTAATCCCAACAAGTGTGTACAGCCATCCTTTGACATCTGAGTCAGGTTTAGTCCCTGTTACGGCACTGCTGGCATTTATTCCCTTGTTGGCTGGACACTGTGTCATTTGTGCAGTCCAATTACATTATCGTACATTTACGTCACTGAAAAAGCACACAGTGGTAGTCATTTCTGGGTTATTACAACATAATGAAATGGATCATCACAATTCTTCCAAATGAATAAATCATATTAACAATTATAATTTGAAGATTTTTTCGAAACAGTACAAAAGACCTCATGCATCGATTAGTGCAAGCCTGTCCATATTGATTCACCCAGACAGACATCCTGTGACTGCTGTGGATTACCATACAAATCCGACTATGTGATTGAATGGATCTCGTGATAGAACAATTGGCTGTGTTCTTCCTGTATTGTTCTGATGCTGTTCCTGATCTCATTGCTTTATTGTACCCAAATGAATAGTACACGGTTATTACATTGTGTTAGGTAAACCACGTCTTCATAAGGGTAAAAAGACAGATTAATTTCTCTAATCTAGGGCTGCATGATTGGGGAAAAATATCTAATTGCAAATTTTCTGACGAGCATTACAATTAGATTTTGATTTATAAAGTGCATTTTAAACACATCCAGGAGAAATAAAATGAAATATGAATGGAATAGGTGTGGTTTTGGGGTTACAGCCCTATCTCTCCTTATATTCCCCATAATTATTCACCTAAAAATTAAGACTGAGTGATTGATTGACTACAGCCCTACATTGTGTTGTTTATAGCTCTTTTTAAATCATAAACTGTCTTCATATCACATTTGATGCAGTAGTCATATGCAGTACCACAAATAAAGAAAGGTACAGTATATTTGCGATACAGCACACATGTATCACCTTCTATAGTGAGTTAATCGTTTCAGAAGGCAAATAAAATCATACTGTGTGAATCTCTCAATAAATTTTGCACTTAAGCAAAACATTTTACTTGTTTTGTTTTGTAACTTCATTCTTTATAAACACTATGATGTTCAATAATGACTGTTGTACAGGGTTGTGCTATGGCCAAAACAAGCTTACACCCACACAAAATGGACCATGACTCGTGATAAAAACATTGAGAGATGAGAGCGGGGCAGCTAGAGCGGGGCAGCTAGAGCGGGGCAGCTAGAGCGGGGCAGCTAGAGCGGGGCAGCTAGAGCGGGGCAGCTAGAGCGAGGCAGCTAGAGTGGGGCAGATGGGACAGGAAAGACACACTGTTTCAAACGTGAGCAGCAGGATGTGTTCTGCTGACAGGAAGAGAATCAGAGCTCTTCTCACCACAACACAAACAGAGATTGATACCATAGAATTTAGTATTTTCTGTTTTGTAGTATGAAAGGAAAAACAAACAACTTAATATTGACTACAATGAAATATAATTTCAATTAGGACTCCTAAAATGACACTTAATATTTTTCATTTAAAAAGTAGGAATCTGACTTCTGTTTTGTTCTAGTTGGACACATCCTCACTGCTGTTTAGCATGCTTTGTTTAACTGCGTTTAAACCAGAATTATGCAAAATTAAGAAAAATGCCATAGTAATTAACAATGTGAAATAAAATACATAATTTGAATGGTGAAAATTCCTCAGGGTTGCATATTACAGGAAGCTGAATCTCTCAGTGCTTTTTAATACAATTTGTGAATGTATATGTAGCGCCTCAAATGATTAAAAAAACACACAGAGGAAGATTAAATATAGTTACTTATATCTTTATGACATTACATAAAGGTGTACACTACAAACATAAAGTGTCATGTGTATTACCAATTTGTGTTTAGCTTGTTTTAGACCATGGAGGCAAACAACGGGGGGCCTTCATAGTCTCCTATTAATGGTTTGATGTGGAGTTTGTTTTCTGAAGCGCTGTCTGTGTGCTGTTTCCTGCAGGGTGTGCTGTCCAACCTGTCGTCCATCACAGACCTGGGGGGCTTCGACCCCGTGTGGCTCTTCATCGTGGTGGGCGGGGTCATGTTCATCCTGGGCTTCGCCGGCTGCATCGGCGCACTCCGAGAGAACACTTTTCTGCTCAAATTTGTAAGTTTTCTCTTCTCTAAACCTGTCACAGTTTTTACACTGTATTTTACACTTGTAACACAAGTGTAAAATACAGAATGTAAATAATAATACTGAAACTTATTCATGCCACTGATTCAATAACCCTAGGATAATCCCAAAAAAGTATTCTATGTACAATATAGTTTTAATATAGTAGGGGTGATACAAAATTGGTGATACAGCAGCCCAGGATAACAATACTGTATCGATATATCAGCAAGAGTATTTTTTTTTTTAATAGATTTTACTAAATTAATTAGTGACAGTGCTATACTGTGTTTATGTAGGAATGTGTTTATGCAATACACTTGACATTTTTCACAGTTTTAATGTTAACAATTGGTTTATTCTGCATTGACTTTGCACAAGTAGTGGTTTAACAAAAAAAAATACTAACCAAAAAATGTATCTGAAAAAAAGTGATATATTGCAGAATATCATGTACAATATATCGATTATTGGACAATAGTAATTTTGTGATAACATTGTATCGTGAGCCATGTATTAAGTATCATATAGATGCAATAAAAAAAACAGAATTAAACACAGAAGTTAGTTTGAATCTATAATCAGTCATAGTTCTTTATTCAAACTTCTTCAGTTCAAATCTTATTATAATACAGAAAGATACTGAATACCCACAAAGCTAGTTCCTAAAAATGAGTGTTCTATCCATCATATGTTGATCGGTAAGTTGCTAATAGTAATTGACCAGACCTAGTCCTCTGACCTCTGACCCCAAACCTCTGAACCTCACAGGTTCAGAAGCAAACTGTGAGCAGCAAATATCACCATGACTCATAGCAGCCTTCCACCAGCACCTATTATATCAGAGCAAATACACGACCACAGAGCATCAAACCAGATGAAGGCTCCAACAGGCCCTGAGTGCACACTATTACTGCTCTATAACCCATTTTTGTCACAAAGTGCACAAATCATTGTACAGTTATTAGTTATAGTTATATAATACAGAATAAAACATAAAGTGAGTGAATGTTTAGTGTTTAGGTGGTAGAACCATTAACATTATAGAATACTAATTACAACTAATATTAATTAAAGTGGGCGGTTGCTTCATAAGAAATATTCTGCATTTTTAATTAGTCAAGATAAATTCAAGACAGTGGGACATGAGTTCAGATGTTTGTTCTTCGACCAAAACAAATGTAACGCATTTTAAGCATTTTAGATGCTTTCAACCTAATTGAGTTAAACTGTGCACCATTACCCTCAATGACTGACTGAATAAACACAATTAACACCCTGAATGCCAGCATTACTGGCAACAAACTGTACAATTGTTTTTAATTTCCCATAATTATTTAAACACCACCTTGCTTAAATATTGTTTCAGTAAATTTTTACAGCTAATTTGATGTAAATGGGTTTGTGGTAATTTTCTCATTGTTTATGAACATTCTGAATGTATTCTTGGGCTGGAAATCAGAGGGTCCCTCAAGATCCGATACATGATACATAACTGATGATATGATGTTATCACAATATGGCCATATATATATATATATATATATATATATATATATATATATATATAAAAATGTGAAATGTGTTTCTCACCTTCCACGGTGGTAGGTCTCTCTCACCCTCATTCAGCTCGGGTCCTCTACCAGAGGCCTGGGAGCTTGAGAGTTCTGCGCAGCAGTATCTTTGCTGTTCCCAGTACTGCACTTTTCTGGACTGAGATGTCCATTGTTTTTTCCCGGTATATCTGTTGAAGCCACTCTTCCAGTTTGGGGGTTACAGCCCCGAGTGCTCCGATCACCACAGGCACCACTGATGCCTTTACTTTCCAGGCTCTCTCCAGCTCTTCCTTGAGCCCCTGGTATTTCTCTAGCTTCTCGTGTTCCTTTTTCCTGATATTACCATCGCTTGGTATTGCGATGTCCACCACCACGGCTCTGCTCTGTTTCTTATCCACCACCACTATGTCTGGTTGGTTCGCCATCACCATTCTGTCAGTCTGTATCTGGAAGTCCCACAGGATCTTGGCTCGGTCATTCTCCACAACCTTTGGAGGTGTTTCCCACCTTGATCCCGGGGTTTCCAGCCCGTACTCTGCACAGATGTTTCTGTACACTATGCCCGCCACTTGGTTATGTCACTCCATGTATGCTTTCCCTGCCAGCATCTTACACCCCGCAGTTATGTGCTGGACTGTCTCAGGAGCCTCTTTGCACAGTCTACACCGTGGGTCTTGTCCGGTGTGGTAGATCTGGGCCTCTATTGCTCGAGTGCCCAGGGCCTGCTCCTGAGCAGCCAGGATCAGTGCCTCTGTGCTGTCCTTCAGACCAGCCCTCTCAAGCCATTGGTAGGATTTCTTGATATCAGCCACTTCAGTTATGTTCCGGTGGTACGCCCCATGTAGGGGTTTGTCCTGCCATGATGGTCCCTCCAGCACCTCTTCCTCTGGACCCCACTGTCTGAGACATTCTCTGAGCACCTCATCTGCCGGGGCCTTGTCCTTGATGTACTCAAGGAGCTTGGATGTTTCATCCTGGACAGTGGTTCCCACACTCACTAGTCCTCGGCCCCCTTCCTTCCGGCCTGCGTACGGTCTCAGGGTGCTGGATTTGGGATGGAACCCTCCATGCATGGTCAGGAGCTTTCGTGTATATATATATATAAAATATATATATATATATATATATATATATATATTATATGTTTCTTCCGCTAAATAAGCAACAAAACTTTTGTGCAATCACAAAGAAATTGCTGAAAGATACCAAAAAAAAAAAATTTGGGTGATATATCAATACAACAGCCCACAATAACAGCACCATATCACCAAATTTAGTGACTCAATATACTGATATTTTTGCACACCTTAATATATTTCCTAACAGAGTGTGTCCTGTCCTTGAGTTATCTTGCCTTCCTCGGTCTGCCTCAGCCCTCTGCTCTGTGTGTGAATGACGGAGACAAACGTGCTTTAGTGCCGCCCGTGACTGTTAGCCGCTATTAGCTCCAGCCGATGTCCATTAGCAACAATAAGTCAGGCGTCAGAGGCAGCAGATAATGTGGCTTGTGTGCATTCATTACCAGCCCTGTCTCCTTACATTTACTGTAAAGAGAAAATATAACCTCACCAACAAGTCTGCGGTTTACAAGCCACACTCAAAGTCCAATCCCTCCTTTCTAGAAACTTATTAGTGTCTGGATTTTATAGCACTATTTCTGTCATTTCTCAGGTAGCAGTACTTGTTGCTAACCCTTTTGTTTTTTGTTTTTTGTCTTTGCAGTTTTCAGTCTTCTTGGGTTTGATCTTCTTCTTGGAGCTAACAGCAGGGATCCTGGCATTCGTGTTCAAGGACTGGATCAAAGACCAGCTCAACTTTTTCATTAACAATAACATCAAGGCCTACCGGGATGACATCGACTTGCAGAACCTCATTGACTTTGCACAGGAATATGTGAGTGTTCACCTGTTGACCCAGACCTGTGCGTCAGCTACTTAAAAGAGACGTTTCAGTTTGCAAGCTTTGATACAGTTTTCAGTATTATTGAGGAGAGCAGAGCAAGGCATTTCATCACATCAATTTATATCACCATTCTCTTGCTGTCACTTATTGTTAAAAGTTAAAAGTGCACTGTGTAACTTTTTAGGTGAGGAGTCTGCCTGTCTCCATGGGGATGCTGTTATTTTGCCTGGAATGTTGCACAGTGTGGCAACAAACGCATCAGTCGAGCATGCATGTCAGTACAGATGTTTTGATTGCTTAAAAATACATGCAGTCCATACTGTGAAATATTCTAGGCAAAGAAATAACATCTCAATGAAGAAAAGAAGGTGGTGGATAGGAAAGCAGTAATGCTCCATAGTGCATCATCTTAAGTTACAAATTTGCATTGTATTTGGTTAACATTATTTCTGACAAAATATCTTAATTAACCTTAACTTTATTACATATCTGAATACAGATGAGATTAAATTCAGTTTCCCAGCTCACCTTGTGCCTATCTGCTCCTCCTTAGTGGTCGTGCTGCGGAGCTCATGGTCCGGACGACTGGAACCTGAACATTTATTTTAACTGCACCGAGCACAACCCCAGTAGGGAGCGCTGTGGAGTACCCTTCTCCTGCTGTGTCAAGGACCCTGCTGTGAGTCCACTGTTCTTCATCAGGTTTTAAACAGTGTCTAGTTAGGCAGGAGGCCACCCTTTATCTTTGCCACTCACACGTTTTAAAAAGAGATGCTGAAAAATCTCTTTTTAGTAACTGTTGCAAAGTTACTGACAGCAAAATAATTATATATTATTTGGTTTTGATCTTTGACCAAATTTATGCATTTAAGTAAACTCGTATGTAGTTTATTCACGGGTTTTAGATTGATTAGGAATGAGGGCCGTTGTCATAGTGATTAACAAACAAACACAAAATATTATATCTTTTGAATGAGGAAAAAGGCTTTAAAAATTTAAACAGGAAGCTGAAACCCGTGAATACAAACACTCAAAGTATGTGAAAAAGCTGGTTCAGTGCATCTCCTCCTGCGCATCTAGTCCTGGCTCAGAGAGAATAGGCCTGTTGCACTTTGACCTGTTGGAGTCTTCTCCTCACTCATACTCTGTGCTCTATTGTTGCAGGAGGATGTCATCAACACACAGTGTGGTTACGATGTACGACTTAAAGGGGTTAGTATTTATAATTACTGTATACACAAATGCACTCCTCAATATCTAACACATAGTGCCAGTAGATTAGGCAGAGTCTGCTATACAGTCAGGCCTTAGCTGCACTGTGATTGGCAGACACCGTTCGCCGCTCTGGTTAAACTGACGTAAAGCTGCTGAGTGGAATTTCTCCTGAGGCCACATTGATTGACAGGCTGCAAACCTGTGTGATTGAAATGATCTGCAGTTGTTGAGCACAGAATAGCAATCAGCTCCACTCATTCGGCCATCATTGCATGGTTGCACACAGCAGGAAAGTGGAATTAAATTCATGACATAGACTGAAAAAGAGTAATGCAATTTTCTCTTGTTTGCGCTGGAATTAAGATAAGAGAGTAAAGCGTGTGTTTGGTCATGTGAGGGCCAGAGCGTGTTGGGGGTTAAGCATGGAGTCTGAGAGTGCACTCTAATAACAGATTGTTCCTCTAACAGGGATAATTAGACTCCCGTTATAGCCTGGACGCAGCCTTACTCCACTCTGTAATTGGCGACTGTGGGCTGTGCCAGTGCACTGGCTCTATGTGTGGGTGTGGTGGTTACAACTCGCTGCACTGCAGTCTGAAAGATTGCTGTTGCTAGGCGAGCTGCACGGTAACAGCACCTGCCCAAGACAGAGCTATACTCTGGAGTGAGAGCGTGGTCATTGGTGTTTGGGGCCTATCAGTGACCTGCAGTGGTTCCTGTGCTGCCTGTTTGTGACAGAGGAAGAGCCAGAGACAACAGAGGCCGCTCAGAGGAAGTTCTCACACAACAACACAGTGTTTCCTTGTTTTTCCATTGGCTGCCATTTGATACTCTTCACCTCTCATTGGCTGACAGCTGGCTCTGAGAACAAAGTCTGTCTGCTCGACTTGTAACTGTAACAAAGCGTGTATTATGTGAAGAGTGGTTCACACCCATCCTTAACCCTGTTTTAGCCACAGTGCAGAGTAAATATCACCTTTACTGCACATGTGAGTGCTCGGACAGGAAGAGGAAACAGACTGTGTTCAGCCTGACACGGACCTCTGCTCCCCCGCTCTCTGAAATTCTGTATAATCTCTGTGTGACTCATCTCCTCCCCTCTGTCACTGCCCTCTCCCTGTAGTCCACTGTGGTTAGTCATAGGCCAAATATCATGTACTTAAAGAATATTCACACATCAACAGCACTAGTGCCCTTTCTAACACTTTAACTCTAATACTGGTTGTGTTGTACAGGATCTGGATCGACAGAAATACATCCACACAAAGGGCTGTGTGGGCCAGTTTGAAAGGTGGCTTCAGGACAACCTCATCATTGTGGCTGGGATCTTTGTGGGAATTGCACTTTTACAGGTAAAGATAACCTCCTGTTTCCTCTGTTTACCCCCTCTGTAATAGGTCTGGTACTAATTTGGTGTTTAGTGCCATCTAGTGGAGCATCACATTGTCTCGCTTATCTGCTGTGTACCTCATAATGATTCATATTTTTAGTTAACGCCCAGTCTGACTCTCTCTCCAGATTTTTGGTATCTGCCTTGCCCAAAACCTTGTCAGTGATGTCAAAGCTGTCAAAGCCAACTGGTGACAGGAGGGGGCGCCACATCCCTCTGATCGGCACACTCTAGCCCAGTCCAGCCGAGGACACAGCACAAACGCACTCACTGAGCTACTCTTCATCACTCACCTGATGACGAGACCAACCAAACATTTGACAAAACTGTTGTTTACCACTCGATCGGGTGCTGACCCAAATATTCAGAGGACCTTCTTGTTTTCAAAGCTAGTTTCTTAAATTTATGTTTTTCTGAAGTAGTTACAATGGACATGTGTTTTATTAAGGGCACAATTGCACAAGGACTCCTTTTGAAACTGGAGATTGGAAAGCCATGTTTGACAGAAAAACTGGACTCAACTAAGACGAAGAAAGAGAAATATAACCCCTGTTTATGTCAAGTTTGTCATTCATCAGACAGGTGACAGTTTGGATTTGTGCTTTTTAAAGTGCTGAGCCCACTTCCTGCTGACAAGATGCCACCAACACAGAGGACATCCTGTGTGTTGTTTTCCTCCTATGACCTTTAATGACCACTGAGCGACTCAAAACGAGCCAATCCACTTCAAATGTAAAAAAAAAAGTTTAAAGTGCCGTTAAATTCTTGCAATTTATCTCTGCCCTCCCTGTTCTTCACATGGCATTTCTGTACCACCCGCCCCAGAATACCTCAGGGCCTCACTCAAATGATATGCTTTCTCTTGCTATGCTATCTCCTGTTCCCATCCCGTGTCTGTTGAATTTAGATAGAGAATAACTTAAACCAGAAAGCCAGAAGCCGGTTTTGCTTGAAAGTCACCCCGTTTCCCCTGCAGCGATTGTATTAGCGGCTAATTTACTGAAGGATGTATTGTGTTCTGTGGATAGCCCTGGTTAGGACAATAGCACGTGGGGAAAAGGGTCTAGCGATTTGAGATTGTGCGTTAAAACTCCCAGCATCCCTCTGGCACACAGGGATGCGGGCTTGGGGCCTTTATTTTTTTACTTGATTTGTGTTACCACATTTGTCTTACGCTTTGTATGTTTCAGATTCTACAATGTTTTAAAAAAATGTTTCTTTCAAGCTGTTTTGTTTGACATCATACGGCACCTGTTTACCTCTCATGACTTTACTGCAAAAAAAATGTCGTTTTAGCAGTCAAAATGGAGACCAAATATTATCAGCTGGCCGAGAGGGCTGTGGTTCTATCTGACTCGGCCAACATGTGAATTTATTGTCCCTTTATGTGGGAAGTGCCAGTTTATTTGATGAATCAAACAATTAAAATGTTACATTATCATTTTTATCTGTATTGCATATTGTCTCTTGTTTTTATTGGTCTGTTTTTATAGATTAGTGATATGCTGTATGCTCTGTCACTATTTTAACACAAATGCTGCTTTAGAGAGAACTAGTAAACTAACACCCTCTTTATAAATCGTGGCTTTTGAAACACTTCCACGTATTTTATATTAATTCCTACTTTTTTGCCCCTTTTCCACGTTATATATAGCTGCAAATGCGTAACTCACTTTCGAAGGCAATGAACAGCTCCGAGCTGCTTCATCTTGTTTATCCCCTCTAAATGTGTTTTTCAAAGCAACTAGCTCCACTTGATAAATCCACTGAACCAACTTAATGAAATTAGTGGCTGTAACAATTCATAATACTTACCCGAAACCCCTTGCACTGCAGCCTGCCAAGTTAAAAGAGGACTACCATTCATATCCAGTGACAGCTCGCAAAGTTTGTACACAGTTTGAATATGTATTTTCATTTTTGGTGACAGCGCCTTGTGATCATGCTACCAGTGCACGCTGCATGTTTCTTCTCCATCTTCAAAACAGCTGTTGGTTCAGATCTGCGTCAGTTAGGAGAAGGCTGCCATTTTTGGTGTATTTTTAAACACTGGGCCTGTTTGAATAGAGTATGACAAAAGGAAGGTCTGCGGGAAAACAAAATGGTGGAAAACAAAAGGGATTTAAATTTAGACAATATGAATGTGCAGAGGGTTTTTTGTGGGTTTTGTTTCACAGGTGCAGTGCAAAAGACTGCTCTGAGCTCTGCCTTATGAGTGCCCATTCATTTAACAGCTTTAGTTATCATCATTGAACCCTAGAGAAGAGTGTGAAATCATTTGTACTTTATCTAACTCCACTTGGCACAAACATTTGCAAACAAACATCAAATCAGCAGCTTGTTTTTATCGTTTACATCTTTCTGTGTCTTTTAGCCTGACCACCCAGCCACGTTTATTTTCTAAACAAATTGGAGTATGGAGTTGCATCCATTAAAGCTGCTTCTCTGCCTCTCCATGTTTTTCTTGGACCATTATTTATTCTATAATGTTATTGCACATTTTATATAATAATAATGATGCATTAGTCTTATGTTACACTTTTCCAGACTCTCAAATTTGCTTTACAATTATTCATTCATTCCATACTTGGTGGTGTTAAGCTACCGTTGTCGTCACAGCTGCCCTGGTGTCGACTGACCACCAACAACACTCCACATTCATACTAGGCCAAGAGGGCTATGTGTAAAGGGGTTGTGGGTGAAATGTCTTGCCTAAGGACACAACAACTGTTTTGCCACTGGTGCCCCATTGTGGCACCAAATATTGCCAGTGGTCTCCTGTCCAAGTACTAACCAGAGCCAGCCTTATTTAGTTTCTGACATCTGACTAGATCAGCCTTCAATCATAGATTCAATGCATAGTGCTTACTATACATTATTTTATGATTGATTATGTAAAATTAAATCAGATTAGGCTTTTCTTCATCTGTTGCTCCTTTATCGATTATTTACTTTGTGCATACTTACCCATTGTATTACATTGATCCTATATAATTTCTTTGCATGTATTTTTTGAGTGTTTAGGGTAAATGTCTGTATAATACCTTTACCCAATCAAACTCAAATTGATCACAAACCAACCAATACCAGGATAGAATGGAAAATAAACATGGCTGGTCCGTCTAGTATCTCAGGGCATTCTTCTCCACATTAAAATTTGTAAAACGCATTTTCGTATGCAAATTCTGCCTTCCCAAGCAACACTTAAGACACCATTAACCAGATATCTTCATACTAACATCATCCTCATGTTTCGCTTTGGGGCAGGTCTTCAGTATGCATCCAGCTATGTCTTGATTCAACCATTTTTGCTAATTGCGGTTTGTAATTCGTTTAATTCAGTGTGGAGGCTGAGAGGGAGCATGCTAATTGTGTTTTGTCCTTTATCACAATGGCTTTGCACCAAATGGTCTCTTCGCTTTCCCCAATGGGCAGTGATATGATTCCCGAGGAGCAGTCTGTGAATGTAGACGATGTACTCGCATGGACCTATGTATTTGTTACCGACGGCAGCCTAATTATGCAGAACAATGCACAGCAACGTCAACAATGTGAATGACAAGCATTTCTACATGTTTTAACACGTTTCTGAGTTATGTAAGCATTCCAGTTATGCAACCTCACATCTTTTATATAGGGATATGCCAGTGACGTAATAAGTAACAAATCAAGTATAAGTTAATCAAACATAAATAATGCAGGTGAAGTGAAGAATGATTGTTCAACATGACATGACATGAATGTTTCACAATATGGCTTTAAACATATCTATTTATTATTTATTTTGTTTTTATTGCTCAGAAATACCTGCATTCTTACTAACTTAGCCTGGTTGCACCTGCTGCTTGTTTCTATGGGGATAGATAAGTTTAATGCCATACTGTGGAGCATTCTCAATTTCATATCCCCCACCAGAATTGACTAGTTTTGGATTAAGGATAACTTTGGCCTGATTGTGATCAATACGACTTTATAAATGTACCTTCAAAAAAATAATGATAATAAAATAAATAAATAAATGTACCTTCAAAGCTGCAGGTTGAAATGTTTGACTATTCAAAATACGTCACAAGTTGTTTTGATTTGTTTTGTTTTCGGCGACAATATAGAAGCCATAATTAGTACAGACTATTGACAGTCTCACTATTTGGGCTATTTCTCACCACATAATGTCCTCATTCATTGACCCATTCCTGCAAATGGCTGTAAACAACATGCATAATTCAAATTTTAATCACATTTCCATTTCATCTTTAAATCTAATGACTTTTTTTAATTTTTGCAACAAAACAAACTGCATCATTATTACATTTTTTCCCTATTTCCTTTGGCTATTGTATGCTTTTGAAGTTTGCTTATACATAACTGTCTTAAAGCTTCCTCTCCATGATATTATAGAAAAAGTAGCAAATTCAATCTGAACCCTCTCCTCATCACGCCCAGATGCAGGTCACATGACATGCCACCAGGAAGTGCCCAAAGCATCAGCCAATCAGCATTCATGACTTCATGTCCATGAGGATGTTATAGCAATATCTCAGTAGTTAGTGCTGACTGCTCCATATCAGTTGAATTGACAAGACGTGAGGAGACTGTGAAATGCTTTTGGTATAGCAGTAATACTATTTTATGACCCTCCCTGAATGCCCTCTGTTGGGCTTTCATTCAACTGTATTGTTAACTGTTGATTCTCACCAATGCAGGACTTTTCTGAATGGGTTGCCTTGTAAAGAATTATTGTACATGTATAGAAACTGTGGGACCTGGTCTGTTACACTGTATATTGTGCTGAATAATGCCTCTTTCATATAATAAAGGATTTATTACAACAGTCATGTGCTCATTTGTGACAGTTTTTGTGGCTGCCTGATTAAATTTAACCATAGAAAGAATCATTAAAACATTAACCAACACAGCAGTGAAATTAAATAAATAATAATAAGAGGTGAATATTATTCCCAAAGTTAAAACTAAAATTCCCCTGTTCTGCTTATTTATCAATGGATCTGATTTGTATAGTGTTTTTTTTTTTGGGTACTCAAACATGCTCATTCAGTAGGAATCTGCATTACCAGTTTTTTTAACTTTTGATTCCCATATTTTTTTCTATTTGCACGGTTTTATAATTATAAACTCAATTTAAAGTGCAACTAAATAAATAAACTCAATTTATCCTTACTTATTGAAGGTCCTATATTACACAAAATTGACTCAAAAAATCAAAAACATCTGGAGTTGTGTTTTATTTTATTCACACATGTTTGAGTGACTTTATTATTGGTTTGTTTACATCTCCAAGTTAAGAGCCACCTTTTACATTTTGTTCAGTGGTGACCATTATTTTATTCAAGGTGTATGGAGTTTAAAAACACAGTGGAGCACTTCCTGTATTACCACATGACATCACAAGGTTGAACAGAGTGTTTTCAGTTTGAGAGAAAAACTAAATATACAGGGTTAGTGTGTTAAATGTGTGAATGAAAAAAAACACAACTCCAGGTATGTTTGTGATGAGGAAACAACATTACAACAGATCAGAAAATAGAATAATTTAAGGATGTTAATAAAATAAAAAGTAGTTCTAGTTTGCAGTGTCGAATAATGGCTGCAGCTTTGTAAATGTTCAAAATACAATCTGTAATAATTTTCCAGAAGTACTGATACTTATATATATAGCAAAACCATTACCTTATATAAGGATGTAACGTGGAAGAAGAATTGATTTTCACTTGCTCACCGGTTGGGTCTAATTACTTTCATGCTAACTCAAAGTTTGTTGATATGGTCAGTGTTATTGTTTTCCTTATAGTTCAAAGGTCAATGCATTTTCCTCAAAAGTTCAGAAAAGTAAAGTATCATTATCAACATTAATTTGTGTCTTTACTGACCTCTTGTGGCAGTGGTTGGCTAGAGTTAGAGCGTAAAGTTAAGCCATTTATTTTTAGTTTAGTATGTGTACCTTGCTTTATAGTTACCTTAGACTTAATGCATGAATTTCTTTCTTTTTAGGAAAGTGCTTGCAATTTGCTGGTATCACTTCAGTCATTCATCATCTGACTCTTGTTAAGCCGTGTTAGGATGTTGTTACCTCCTCAAAAAACATACCTGGAGTTGTGTTTTGTTTCATTCTCACATGTTTGAATAGTCCTGCATTATTAAGCTGTCTACTCAAAATGCTCTATTCCACTTAGTGATGTCACGTCGTGGTAGTTTTCAAGTTAATAATTACCTTTTACCTTTATTTCAGTAGAGATTGGCAATTCGAGGTCTGATAACATTTAAATGATTGTAGTGAATGAGTACGGAGTTTAAAAACACAGTGAAGCACTTCCTACTTTATCACATGCCATCACAAGCTGGAACAGAGTGATTTCTGTTTGAAAAAAGAAGTCTAAATATGCGGGGTTTGTGTGTTAAACATGAAACAAAGCATGGTTTGATGCAGAAACAACATTACAATATAGATCACAAAATAGTGTAATATGGGCCCTTTGAAGTTGCCCTATTTGGCCTGTATTTCTCCATAATCTACCTCAAGTTAAGTAGGAAATACAGTTTAATTCTGGTATTGTTACACATAGTACACATAGAATTAAGCTTCTCATACTATTAGAAAAAGGTATAACTAACAAGTAATGAATGCAAAATTAGCTTAGTAACATCTCAAACAGTATGCAAAATATCCTAACCGCTCTGAGCGCTGTATAGAAATGGTGATGTGTAGGATGGTCTGTAAAACTGTACTCTCTCCACGGTCAGGAGGTCAGATCCATTAGCTGGTCCATAGACTTGGTCTGTATTATAAGAGCTTTTGAGTTGAATGTAAAAAGATGAGACCTGGTGTGCCATGATGAAGAAATTGTATCTATCCACAGGGGTTCAGAGATATGGACAATACAGACGGTTAGGAATTCACATTTCAAAATAAAATACCCTATTCTATGAAATGTTAAAGGGCCATATTATGCTACTTTCTGATCTATGTTATAATGAAAATAGCGACAAACATATTCGGAGTTATGTTTTGTTTCATTTCAAACAAACAAACAAACAAACAAAAAAACACCTTGAGATGTCATGTGGTAATACAGGAAGAGCTCCACTGTGTTTTTTAAACTCCATACACCTTCACAACAATCATTTTGATCATTTCAGTCCTGGAATTGCCATTGTTAACTGAACTAAAGGTAAAATGTTGCTGTTAACTTGAAAACTACCTCTTCATGACATGACAAGGCATAAAAGAGCATTTTGAGTTTTAGAAATGCACACAGAGTAATAATAAAGAACTTGTGTGAATGCAACAAAGCACAACAGGTATGTTTTTGATGAGGTAACAACATTACAACATGGCTTAAAGCTCACAAGTCAGTTTTGTGTAATGACCTGGAATAAAAAGACAACTTGTGTTTTTTACTCAGCAGAGACCAGTCTAAACATTCCTTTACCAAAATAAAATAAAGGTGCTGCCATTTATTTTTATTGGTCTAATTTGAACTGTTGTGTAAATTAGATGAGCTGTGGCCCTTTTAGCACACTATAATTGTTTGGTAATAGTGTGGAATTACCTTAACGAAGGTCACATCTGCTCCCCATGTCCAACCAGGAAAATGCAACCAAAATTAGTCACATTTAAATGTAATTATGTTAACAATGTTTTAGTCTAACCAGTCATATGCACTTTAAGGTCTTCCATATTTAGTGATATAGTGGCAAAATACTAGCCGGATCAATAAAGTTTGTTTCTGGCTCCTGGTTAGTTCAGTAAGTTTATGAATAGGGTTGATAATAGTCTAACCCAGTGTTTCCCAACCTTTTCTCACATTTTACCCATTGATATGTTGGTGACCCAGGTTCCCTTCTCATATGTTTAAACTACTGTACTGGAAAAAAAAAAAAAAAATCTGTTTAATAAAGCTGTTTTAGAACAGTAATGATCATTAAACACTTTATATAAGGAAATAAGATGTCATTTCTTCATTAAAATTCACTCAGTCTGGCTTGTGCCTCATTTCTAAGAACCCCTTGTCTAATGACCGGTCTAAGCCCTGTCTTTAGTCAGATCTGGTTTAGTTTTGGTCCAGACCTGTTTTTTTCCAGCATGTTTTCTGTTTATCAATTGCTTTGTTCTGGTTTAGTGCTGGGTGACCCAGTCAGAAATGCGTGACATGTCTCTCACCAGCAGTGTTAGTGAAGCTTTAAGTATTTCATCTCTTACAAATGGTGTGGACATTTGAGAATGACTTGCATAGCGTCAGAACTGTCCCTGAGCTGTATCAACTCTAACTAATGTTAAATGAATGCCAGTTGACCGCTGGTGCTTCCTGTGCAGATAAAAAAGACATTGTTATCAGATAAAACTTGGAGCAGAGCTGGTTTAAGTCATGTCCTCTTATCGTCCTTGTGCCTTTTAAAACATATAAACAGATGCAATGTAATTTAATTTGTTGCCAATAGCGAAACAGCAATAGTGCAATGTCCTTCAAGGCAGTGTCCACTTTGTGCATCACGTTCGTGTTTTTTATCAGAGCAAAGAAACATATAATCAAAGTGGATGGAGAGCGGCTTTGATCAAAGCTGCATCTTGAGACAGCGTGTCCATTTCAGATCTAAAAGAAGTCCTCAAAACCTCTTGAAAAACATGCATGTATGTGCCTGTGTCATTTACATCAAACATCATCCTGGGAAATTGAGGGAAAGAGTCAATCATCTTGTTTATCCGTGTGCTCATGGTTTAATCAATAAAAAAAATCTTATCGGTGAACCGAGGTTTGATGGAGTCTGCAGCAGGATTTTCTGTTCTCTATCTTTTCACAACATTTCTGCATCACTAACTTAACATGGAAAACTATAAAGTGCAACATTATTTAACTTTTCCAGGTTTAAAGGGTTGTCTACTTGTCTCTGATGCTTAGTGTTTTGCCAAAATGTTCTACAGTGTGACCATTTTTTTTTAAATTCATGAAAACAAGCAGGTGACGCCACAGGTCATCAGATCTGTGGAGAGGTGACCACAGATAAGAATGCATGTTTTTCAAGCACGTTTTTAAATAAAATTCTAGTCACAAAGGAGAAATTCAGTTCTGTCAACTGGACAAAAGTGATGAAATGCGTTTCGCAGTTTGGATGAGCTGCTTCAAGTTGACAGAACTGAATTTCACCTTTGTTATAGATCCTACCTGGATTTCACAAATTCTGTATATACTCAAACTGTTTCATGTGATACTTTGCATTAACATCACGCTGGGGGTGTTCTAATTGTATCTCTAGTGGCAGAGTGTTCAACAGTTACCATGGTGACACAATGGACAGATCAGCACACACAAAAATGTTTTAAGATCTCAGAATCTCAGAACTAAAGAAAAATACAAAATTGATTAAAACAACACATTTTCACAAGCTTGTGGTCAATACAAGCATTCTTGGTTCTGTTTAGGTGGTTGAATTTGAACAAAAAACGTGAGAGTGACTGTTGAAAAACTGTAGTCTAATGCTATCTAGCTTGTGACTGTCATTTTGCACACAAATCATCTCACCTGTTCCAACCAAGTCAACTCTTTCTGCTCAGCTTTTGTTAAAATAAAGTTTAAGATTAAGTTTAACTTGAGTAACAGAGTGCTTTCAGTTAGCTTCACACCCCCAGGGAATGTTGAGACATCAGCTGCAAAGCATGACAAGTTTTCCCACTCTACATGTTGTTTGCTTTGATCATTTTACCCTGAGTGTAATGGGGAAACTGACATACGGTATAGATGTAGGTCAGTGCGAGCTCCGTCATCCAAACACATGAGAACTTGTGATGTCCTGGAGCCATCTTTTCTTCTGTTGAGC